ATATGTGTTTTTTTTTGGATGCAGCATACTACGGAATACTAACCTTGATTCTGAAGTTTTTTTTTTTTTAAGATGAGCAAGTTTTTGCCCTAGCAGCCTTTGAGTGTTCAAGTGTGGCTCTATACGAGCCGAAAACGTCAAATTTTTGCCTAATTATTTTTGCTTTCAATTGTTAATAGAAGTATTTAATGGATTCTTTGTAGCATAACAATTACTATTGATATATGCGTACAGTATTTGTTTTTCCTTGACAGAAGCTAAAATTTGGACAAAATTCTTGAGCTTCAATCTTCTTCCACCATTTCAAATTGTACACAAAACATTGAAGATCACAGAAAAAGCCAAATAAATTTTCTAAGCATAAGTGGAAATAAGGATCAACCTTTTGTCATGAGTAAAAAAATTTGTTGAAAGGATAAATTTTGAAATTTGCGGGATAGTACTTAAAAGTGTCTATATTAGTTGGCAATTTTCCTCTAAAACCATGTGACAAGCATGAAACCGCGGTCTTCTCTTCTGAAGAAATCGAATGCAGCGAAGCATTGCATCATAAAATACCCGTACTACAACAAAATTTGCATCGTTAAAATAGTATGGGAAAATTGCATAACAAAAGGGCTCAAAATAATGTGGAGTAATTATACATTACATAGACTTAATCCTGCAAAAAAAAAGAAAAAATTCCGATTAAGAAAAAATTATTATCATCAAAATAACAAAATACTTCCTCTTCAGGATACAATGCTTTAAATTGTCCTCTAATCAAGAAAATGTGCGCTTTTTACTGGAACGTACAATTAGAAACTTTTGCCTGTGGCGGAATGAAGAAATATTTTTAGCATTTGAGAGGAGTAAATTTCAATCTCTACAGAAACGTGTGCATCTCAAATAGCAATGAACTTGGAATGAAAACATATCTTTAAAAGAGGTAGATTGATATCTGAATTTTTCAAATTTTAAAAGTTTCCCGCTCCTCTTTTTTCAAATAAAACGTGTTTTCACGATGAGGCTTCATGGCACGATAATTTTGAATAGGCAAAGAAATTTACTATAAAATTTCTTCAAGAAAAACCGTTGACATACTCCACTTCAGATGCCTTCGTTGAAAGAAAAATGAATAAAAATTGTGCCAACATTGAGTGGTGAGGCTGAAACCAACACATGGCGAGTAAAATTTCGAGGCCTTGAATCTGCATCTAGGTTAAGAATATCACGGCAATTTTTGACGCTAATTTTGAATTCACCAGAATCCAAATTTTATTCTGCAATATTCACCGTAATTGCATCCAATTTTTCCTCGTTACAACACAGCAAGTAAATTCGTTCAACGCAGCTTAAAATTGAAGTCATTTGAATATTGCCTTGAACTTTTAGCCAGTTTTGAGAGACGGTTCCGCTTCGAGTTTCCCTAATTTGACGCCCATTTTATTTCATTAAAATTAATTTTCTTGAAGTATTACGCAGCTTGAAACATTCTTCTATTTTCACTTTGAATATTTTTCGTACGTGCTTCAAAAACATGACTGTTTTTTAACTTTTCATGGGGTCAATCGCAATCAAAATTTGCCAGGATTTTCGAAAATATTTTTCAATTTTTATATATTTTCTAAACTTGTTGCAATGCTTTGAACTGGATCAATCTGCAGTGTTCTTCGTCTGTATCTTTCAGAACAAGAATAACAGCTCAGTACAGTACTCAAGCTTCAATAATCCCCTAAAAAGCTCATAAAACAGAAATAGAATTTATGCTCTTGTATCCTTGAATTTACTGTGGTTTTAGAATCTGAAAAATTGAAAAATTAAATTTCGCCAGACTTTGTTGTATGCTACAAGGACACGACATTCAAACAGAAGATTGTGTTTCTCATACGGGAATACAATATGCTTTTCACCAGAAAATATGAAACGCTGTTATTTCACGGTGTGCTATTAATGATGAACGTATCATGATATTTCTGGAATTC